GATTTGCTTTATCTGAATCTGTGATGGATATTTAATAAACACTGGCTTAAGTACTTCAGCTTTTACTTTTTCCCTCTGTTGAGTATTTAATGATCTGTAAATAAGCACTTGAGAAAATGCTACCTAAAGGGACCCTGTGCTCTTTTACAACATGAAAAATCTTCGTGTAACATGAACGATTCACCCTCTGATTTATCTCTTTGCTAATAAGACGTTTAGGACCACATGGGAGGTATTCTGTCCAATAACAGAAACGGCCAGTCCCGTGGAAGAAGAGGTCACGCTCTCCTACGGAAAAGCGTTGCCTTCTCCACGTCCTCTGAGATGTTCCTTTTGTCTTTTTCGAAGAGAACATCTGACAATCTGAAGCCTGACCTCCAGGGCTGTAGGAAACTCGTTTTCTCTTTCTGTCTTCATTCTCTCTGCTCCTCTGTTCTATTCCCTTTTCTCATTTACAGATCTTCTCTGCTTCTCTGCTTCCCAACAGCTACTCCATTCAAGGGACCAGTCACACTAAGGCTGGAATGAAATCTCTTACGTCTCCTTTTGAATTTCCAGGAATTTTCTTCAGCAGACAGTTGGAAGGTGGTTGTGTCCGGAACACTTCCCAGGAAAGGAGAGCTTGGGCAGATGATGTGATAGGGCCCACCATAGCAGACTGAGCTCCGATGTGGGCAAAGGTTTAGTGATTACCTAACCTGGCTCCTCTAGAACAGTCTTTCTCAACTGCATTCTCATTCGCAGGTGCCTCTTCGAGAATGGAGTCTGAGAACATCAATTTTTTAAGTGCTCCGCTGGTGATCCTTATGCATTCTGAAGTTTGGCAGGCACTATTCTAGAATAACTCTCAAAAAGACTGTGAAAAGATAGAATTTCAACCTAACCATATTTAACAAGCAGCCTATTTGAAGAAACTTTAGCTTTTTTTAGAGTCCTGGGCCACCTACATTCCCCAGCACGGCTGGGCCCTGGGCTGTGTCTCTCTCTCACGGTGCTGCGAAACCAGCAGCGTGTGCAAGGGTGAGCCGTGGCAGGTCCCAAAGGCCTTGGTGGGCATGGTTGATGGTTCCTGAATGACTTGCAGTCAGCTAGTGAAAAATTATTCTCTGCATGCAAGTGGTTGAATTCTGTATTTTTATTGCTTACAAGTTTTAGTTGAATGTATTTTTAAAAATCTAATATCATTTGGAGTCCTAGCAGAGTTTATTAGCAGGCATGCCCATCAATGGCTATGAAATTAGGAAGACTGTTCAACATGACTTAAAGCACCTACTGTGTGCCAGACACTGCGCTAGGGTATTTTATGTGCAAAGTGTTAGGGCTGGGCATGGAAGCCAGCTGTGAGTACTCCAACGCCTGTGCCTATTCCATTGCATTATGTCAACATGACAGTAGCAACTGCTTGTAAACACTATCATTCTTAAAGGAGCAGCTCCAATCCCACCTAGCCATGCAGCCTTCCTTGACGTTCCTTAGAATTTTTTTCTCTGCTTCATTTGTTTGATACTTATTTGATGATATTCTATCATTTTTTTTAAAGATTTCTAAAATTGGGATACATGTCACCATGGGTGGTGGATTGTAATTTAGCAGCATTTTCATTTTTTCTTTCTTAATGGTATATAAAGTTAAGGTTCATCTTAAAACTGATGGAATCTTAGATTCACTGAAATATGGCATATGATGCTTTCATATTTAACAGTGTGGAAGTGTCCTATTAAGTCTGTATGGCAGAACTAGTTCGTGGTCACCAAATACCCACATGTTCCCCAACTATCCGCAGCTTCTCTGCAATCCAATTGGGCCCATGTGGCTAGTTGTGGGCAATGGATCATAAACAGAAGTGACACATGTCCCTCGGGCCAAGGAAGTTAAGTACTGGTGTGCCTCTTCTACCCCTCTTTCCCTGCCACGGCAAAGTTGGGAGCCAATAGATATTATATACTCATTTATTTAACAGGTGTGTAGTAATATATACTCACCTGACAGGCGGACCATGAAGGCTCCTTCTGCTGGGTTCCTACTAAGCAAAGACTCATTACTTTACACACTTGACACTTTAAGCAGTGGTCCTGGGGTGCTGCTCCCCTCAATCCTTGTCTCTGGGCTTTTCATTATCTGTGTGCTCATCTAACCTTCCACAGGCTTTTAGCATACTGGCCTGGCAATGGGTGAGAAATAATCTTAGAAAGAGGAATGCAAGGAAAAGCCTTTGATTTCTAGTCACCAGATGTTTCTAACCTTCCACAGGCTTTTAGCATACTGGCCTGGCAATGGGGGAGAAATAATCTTAGAAAGAGGAATGCAAGGAAAAGCCTTTGATTTCTAGTCACCAGATGTTTGCTGAGATGCAAGAAGTGACCAGAAACCTAAGTTTCAGAATCTTGGGCTATTCTTCCTAGCTGGAAATATTTCGGCACAGGCCCACTAACTTACTGAGAAGCCTTTAGAACTGACTGATCCTCAGGATAAGATAACTCTCAGACTTCATCGGGAGTGCTCATTCTTTTGAGAATGCAATTCTGAGTTCACACTTTCTGCACTGTCCCAGGAAAATCCTGTTTGTGAAAATGCCTTATGGTATCTCCCTGAACCTGAAAAAGTGGAGAAAGACTATTTGCTTTGATGTAATCAGATTCTCTGGAATTTAATCCTATCTCCTATTTATGGCTGAGCTAGCCATTCAAAATTAAAATGAACCTTTCATCCATGTGTATCATAAATGGGCATTTATCAGGATTATATGATTTTTGCAATCCATCTGAATACATAACCAGAATTTGTTTTCTTTCCATCTCACTATGTAATTACCATGCAACAATAACAAAAGTGACATGTTTGAAGAACAGATAAAATGCTGTAAATTGGCCAGTAATGGTGATATTTCCTCATCTTCTGAAAAACCCATTTATTCTCTCTCAACAAATCAAGGCATTGTCAGCCCACACTCATCTTGTGGCCAGAGGGGCTCCACCAATTTCTGGATGTAAGCGAGTCCTGGAATGCAGATGAGGCCAACTAACGAAGGCTTTCAGAGCAGGCAGCTGGTCTTTGCTTGCCTCAATTTCTAAATCATCCATAATGGGGCCAAGACCTCCCAAGCACTAAAAAGAGCAAGCTGACATGCTGGACAAACTGTTAATTTTTTCCTGAAGAAGCTGCTATATTGCACATCTGTCACTGCAGCACAGACAATTACTTACTGAGTCGGGGGAAAAAATCTGCTGCTTGTTTCTCGCTGAGTTGTTAAGGGACCTAATGGCAAAATACAATGGCGTGGGAGTCAGAACATGCTGGGTTCCTGTGTGCTTGGCAATTGTCTGCTCATTTTGGAGAGCTGTCCTGTGACATTAAAATATGTGAAGCAGACTAAGATGTGTTGTAAAAAAACAAGTGGTACAATGAAAAGAAAGGTATGGAAAGATGTGGGAGGGTCAAGAACCAAACCTTACAGATTACAGACCCCTGGACTTCTTGCAGAGAACCTAAAGACACTCTCGGCAGTGAATTCAAAATGCTGTGGCTCTGCACTTTAAATTTCATACCTTTAATGTGCGTTCCCAAGACTTCACATCCATCTAAAGATTATTTTACGAATTTCATACCTTGTATATGCAATGTGGAATACCTACATTGTTTCCATTATGAATTACTGCCATCAGTGAGGAACTTTAGAGTCCCAGATTAGCCACACAGCCATCGAACAAAACCTTAGTTTTTTTTTTTTTTTTTTTAACTCCTAAACTCATTTGCTCATAACTATGAAATTCTGGCATCAAAGAAATTCACTTCAATAAGGGATGAAAGGATTTGTTGCTTTTGGAAAGCATATATTGAGTTAGTACAGTATTTCTTATTCTTTCTGTTTTTATTAAAGAATGATTTCAGGAAGAAATGAACATTTCTCAGAAATGTAATAGGAAGATGCAAACAGATAAAAAAGTTTTGCCTGTTTTCTTTTTACGTCGGATACTATTATAATACAGTCTTATCTCTACCGTCTTATAGCTGAAAAATCAAGCATTACACACTTAAAATGCTAGTGACTTATTTTGAAAGTTCAAGCTAAGGAAAAAAGCCCTGAAAAACCCACAAAAAATAGCCGTCAATTGTTTTCTAACTTCATCCTCGAAAAATCAAGGAATAAACACAGGAAATTCTGATAATGCAACAGGAGTGAGAGCTGTGAATCTGAGAATGATTTAAACTGTCTGACAATTCAAAGACAGGAGACAACTCCACGTGCAGATAAAACTAAAAGTGTCAATAGTAGATCATACGCCTGGCAGTTAATGGCACTGACTCGCTAGAGACAAATCTGGATCTACTTAAAATGTCAGGTGTGTAACGTAATGAGTCTTTGCTTAGTAGGAACCCAGAAGAAGGAACCTTCATGGTCCACTTGTCAGTTGAGTATATATTACTGCAAGCCTGTTAAATAAATGAGTATTTAATACCTCTTGGATAAAAAAATCCACTTACTTTTAACAACTCTACTCAGTTTTTCAGGAGAGAGAAAAGATAAAACGTAATGAACATAAATACTTAAATACCTCTTATAGCAAACAAAACTCAAAGAAAACTCAATACTTTAATGAGCATTACAAAATATTTAAAATATCCAAGCAAGTTTATGAGAGGTACAACTTTCCAGAAAAAAATGGAGTGACTACATGTTTGTTACAAGACACATGACTCGTTGGTGTCTCAAAAGTGGTCAGAGAGAGACTTGCTACGCCAGTATCAGAAAATTCTTGAGTGGAGAAACCGTAAGCCAGTTAGTCTTGTCCAGCTTCAGAGAAAACAAACAAAAACAGGAAAATGTGGTAGCACAGGTCATAATCAGCTATGACTAAATTTGTGTCAAATGTCTCCACCAATTTTTTTCTCTAAAGTTTTTTGAGATATTGAAATTGTCCAAGGCTTAGCGATAATAATGAATTTAAAACTGCACTATTAAATGTTAATTGTCAAATGGGTAGTCATTAAAAGTTTTTAAATGTACTTTCGATTTTTTTATTACTTTAAGGTAAGAGGAAAACATTTAAGCACAAAGACAATGACTGCTTATAAATAACATTCTTAAACATTATGTTTTATTCTTTCACTCTTTGTTGAACTATTAATATAATTTTCAACCAAAAGGAAAAAAAAAAAACTAAACAACAAAAAAAATCCAAGATATTCTTTACTAACAATTCATTTTACAGTACCAATTTAGATCACTTTCCTTTTTGAAAGGCAAAATACAAGTGAAAATGGTTTTAAAAAGCATGTCAACAGTGATTTTTTTTTCTTTTATGAAATATCTGTTCAAATGAAATGTACTGAAGAGAAGCAACTGTAAGTTCAACTAATTACAAGAATACCAATTCACAATGTTAAAATAAGCCTATTAACAAAATGCAATATTTTGCAGTTATGTCTATATACCACACACATATGTACACTATATGTACACAGTATGCATGTCTTTAACCCTACTGTCTTAACTTCTGTTTGATAACCACAGTATGAGTTATGAAATTTATGTACTCAAATGCTGAGACCAATTAATTGGCAAATTTTAGTCAGCAATGAATTCTCTTTTAAAAGGATGCCATATAATTTAAAAATAAAAGCAAAAAAAAAATGAGGGGAATGTAGCATTAAATATTGTATTTGGGGAGAAGGAAAGTAGGAAAGAAAAGAATGAAAGAAAGAAACGACTCCAGCACAAAGTCTGGTCACTATCAAGTATAAAAAATATACAAAGAAAAAAATTCAAGTTGCTGAAGTAGTCACGCTCAGCCTTTCTTGGCTACTGTAGATAATGGATAATTTGGATAATAAGGGAAGAGATCTATGTATTCCCTAGAATTTTTGCACAATGAACTTGACATGAGGCTATAGATCCTGTAGGATATAAGAATGGCTCATGAGGGAGCAGGGGAAATCTCCTACCACCTTTTTAAGGAGACATGAATGACACATTCTAAATCATGAACTCCTTTGGATCCTTTAGGTTCTATGGGCATAGTAACTGGCAAAAATTAACTATAACTATATATAAAACATAAATTAGTGGGTTTCATATTTTAAAAGACATTTGATTTATATTTAATTTTCATACATTAATTGTGACTGGTTATTTCTCCAAGTAAGTTTAGGTACAACCAGAACATCAGGTCTGCACTTATTTTTCCTAAGGACTGAATGCTGAAGGCATGTTGTGTAAGAGGATGGGGAAGCTTGGGATCTTGTTACTTCTCTCCTTTGAAGGTTGATTCATATATTCTGTAGAGTTAAACACTTCAACAGAATAAAAAATAAGTCCTCTGTGAACCACATAGTGAGCTCAAGATTAAGTACTTTCTATTAGTGGAAAGTACAAAGATGAATTTTTGGGGGGTGTTAGAGAAGCTAAGGGAACGTCTTAGAGAGGCTGCATCAGAGGATTTATACCTGTTCACACCCGCATTGTTCACCAAACAAAAAAACCAAACAGAACAACAATAAAAAACAGAACAAACAAGAACAACAACAAAAAGACTTACACCTGTCCAGAATGGCAACAATAAAAAGCATTCATAAAGGCTGCAGTGTTTAATTAAGGAGTCCCCCAGATCAGTTTGCAATATGTTCTGCTCTCCTTCACTGTGAAGGTCTCATATCCATTAGAACATGGTAAAGTGAAAGGGAATAGCCAGGCCCTTGGGAGCTTGCAAACAGTCTCACAAGACCTCGTTGTTTGTTATCGGTGGCTCAAAATTTCACCTTTTGAAATTCTAGGATTTTTAGGAGATCTTTAGGAAATGGAATTAAACAAACAAGCAACTTTAGAATAGACCCTAGAGCACAATACACTATTACAAAGAAATTTAAAAATCTGAATATAATGTCCCCCAACTTTCCCCCCTACATAGATAGAATGAGCATTTAAAAAAAAAATCATTAAAAAAATGGCACATTTCTAAGTAATAAAAGTACAGGAAGTAATCATACAACAGGGTTACTTTAATCCAGTAAGAATGCTTCAAAAAAGCAACTCACGTGGTAGTCTATAGTCCTCTAACCAACCTGTCCTCTTCACACAATACCCCTAAGAAAGAAGATAATAAACATATCCTCGTACATTTGGCAAACCATCAAATAGCAGGTTGGCTTTCCCTTCCCTAGTTGGCAGTATTTTCTTTAGTGGACCACCTGTCACATGCATAAACCTCCACTACCACCTCCTAAAACCTGTTTTGGGGACTTACAAAATTTTTAAAATGTAGGTGATTCACATGTTATCTCAATCTTTACCAATAAAGGCCATTATAAACAGAATAATAACTATTTTATTAGTTCTTAATAATGAAGAAGATAAGAAATCAACATCTTCTAAATTAAGAGCGATTTTGAATCTCTAACACTAAAAAGCAAATGATTTAGAAATAACTCAATACAAGGCACATAATAAAAATGACTTGTTTGCTTGATTTTAAAATAATGCCTTAGATCTTAGAAAAGGCAAATCAGAATTATTCACTTTTCTTGTTCACCTTATAAATGAGTTTGGGCCATTGCCAGAAACCTGAATTCTTGGGACAGCCATTTAAATCTTCAAATAAATTGATCAACATTCTAATAACTTAATCCAATGATTAAAATTTAAAATCAGTTTACGACACTTGAGTTAATCTTAATAAAAATATCAATTCTTTGGGAAGAGAGAGGTAGAATTCTGGATTAATAGAATTTACTACTAATAGAATAATTTGGTCATGATGAATTTAAAAAATACATTTTTCTTTCAATAATTATTTTATGTTTAAATGAGGTAAAATTTATAAAATCTGCATTAAAGTAATGTTGAGGGCACTCTGGTGATAACAATGATGAGGTTTATTTTTGCCGAAACATCTGAGGGAAACATTAATTGCTGTTTCTCCGCTGTGAACTTCATACTACATTGTCCAAGGACAGAAAATTAATGGGTATCACCCTGTTAGAAAATCCTCACAAAAAAAGCCAAACTCAAAGGATGCGAAATTGTCAAGACTTTCAAACAGAGATTTGCTTAGGATTTCACTGATGACAATCTCTTGGGTTACAATAGATAGGGAAGGTATGAAGCACAACCCCTTCTGGCCTATCCCATTTTGAAAACCTGTGGGTGTGCTCACCTTTTCCTGGACATCACACACATACATGAATCAAGCAAGGCATTCAAAAACATTGACATACGAGATCAAAATAAATAAGAGAAATGAGCTATTCTTTATACTTAGAAATAGCTGGAAATGACTGAAAACATTGAACGGGTGGAGGTTTGCACTTCAGCACCATGACTGGTGTGATGCGATCCCCTTTCCATCACATGGCCAGACTGTGTGCAGTTAGGAAGTTGGAGAGAGGAGCTGGAGGCCATGAAGATTTCTGCCTTGAAAACAGAAGCTATGTTGGAGTTTTAGAACAGTGGGACATGGTGAATAAAAACTGTTAAAACATTTCTTCTTTGCTCTTCTTCTTAGGTGGGCTTTCCTGGTTTGGAGGGAGTAGTTGTAGGAGTGCTTTTTGGTAGGGGATATCCGAGTCCTAATCCTTTTGGCCTCTGCAAGGCTTGAACTGGTTCAGAGATCCCCTTGCCGTCGCGTCCCAGGCCTGACCCAGGTGTCCAGCCCATATTCTGAAGCATTCGGTTCCCAATGTTGTTTTCTAGGATTGGCTGGGCGTTTTCACCTACAAATCCTGAAGTGACAAAATGAGAACATACATTGGTATGAACACAGGTGAAGATCTTCTGAGGCTATGAAAACCATATGTATCTAAGCGTTTCTCCCCCCAACAAGGCACTAGAGAGGGCTGTTAATTCCCCTTTGGATTCATCTTGGGATACTTTTTGTAGTAGGGGGGATGATGGAAAAAAAGATCTCTGGGCTTTTGTTCTCTCATCTGTAAAACAGGCACAATACAACGTACACCGCCTACCTCACAGAGAGTTGTAGGATCACATGAGATCATGTACGTAAAGAACGTTCTCAGTAAACCATTAGTACTCTACAAGTGGATTTATTTTCACTACCATGTTAGCCTCATGGGTAATTCTGAAAATCACCAACTTAGACCATAATATCTTACATTTGCCCAGGACCTTGGCATCCAACAAAAAACTAAAACCAAACCAAACATGACGCACAATTAATGGCATCCTTAACTCCTAGGAATTTACTTTCCTATAATCCTCTTCTTGTTACTTATTCTTCAGTCTGTAACATATGCATCCTTCAATTCTCTTCCTCCTACTCCTTCCATGGCCTTGTTTTAATGAATATAAAAGCAGGTAAGGAGGGAAAAATAGAGGAAAAGTATATTGAAATATATAGAGATAAAACATTTATATCTCTCTCACTATGTATAAAACAGTCCTCCAGAGTTCCCTCCCTCCCTCTTTTTTCTCTCCCTCCCTCCTCCTCTCCCTTCCCCACCTACCTTCATCCCTTATTTGGAAAAGGAGATCGGCTAGTGCTTAACATGACATTTAGATACAGCTGTTGTTTCCCACATTTTCTTAGTAAAGACAATTGAGAAAATGCATCTATTTTAAGCATTTTCACTTCGATGACATTTTCAAAGATACGCTTTTAATTTTAATTTTCTTGCAGGCCCTTATGGAAAAAGTTGAGCATACATGAGGGGACTTCAAAAAGTTCAGGGAAAGATTCGTACTATCCTTTTTTGCAGACTCTTTGAAGTGCCTCCTATACTATATTTGGCTCTAGGGAAAAAGTTAGAAGTACTAATTATCTAAAGTCAAAGGATTGGGAAGTTAACAAATGTCACAAAAGTCAAAGAATCACAAGGATCTGAGCTCCTTCCTTGGATTGCAGGCACGGGCTTGGTGACTCTGCCCCCTCGGTAGCACAGGCGGGCTCTCCTGGAGAGTCACTTCTGTTCATCCTCTAGCAGCAAATCTGGACCTATCCAGATACAAGCAACCAGATCATTTCTGTGGTTACTCCTCTTTGAGAAGAAGAAAGTGATTATTAAACGAATACCAGAGATTGTGTAAGAAAAAAGGGGTGAAGATATCTTAAAACAACCTTTGTTTTAGTGAGAACATATTCAGCCCAATCTTTCCCATTAGGGCTTCCCAAGAAGTCTCTTGTAGAGCTCTGAGGTCCACAGTTTCAGGGACATAGTGTTTGGTCACCTCGGCACGTGGCACAGCAGCTCAGCCTTGGGTCCAGCCTATATCTGCTCTGAAATGTGGACTGTGCCTTCCTAGACAGAGGTTGAAATGGGCAGCTCTTGATAAGACCACTCACTGCTCTCAAAGCTTCATGAGTCAGAATTCTCTTTAGCACCAACCCACTGTCTCCCCCACCCCACCCTTTTCCCATCAACCTCAATTTTCTCCTCGGGATTCCTGATTTAGGATTATGACAGTATGTTTTCCTGACTGAGGTACTCTGTCCTATTCCTTATGTGATACTATGTTCAGGACTGTGATACCAGGCACAGAAGGAGCAAGCATCAATAATAGTAACAAAAATATTACCTATGGGACTCCAGACTATAGTAGTATTCTATTTCTTGGCCTAGGTGGTGGTTACACAACTGGCCAATTTAGTATTGTTCTTTAATCTGCACATATACATTTTCATGTGTTCTTTGGTATATATATTTCATAGTAAAAGAATAATAATAGAAGAAATGTTAGTGTTGAACCAATAGCATATCTCATCTCACAATTTGTATCTGCGAAACAGCAAATGGGCTATTCCCTGTGATTCTGACTTGTAGAACAAGGAAAACTGTAAAGTGCTAGACATGGGTTTTAGTAACTAACTCTTTATTTCCTATGGAGTAATCATCAGTTGATTTTCAAAGCATTTTATTGAACATTTTGGTATTCTCAACCTTCAGTAAATTTTAGGACTGAGGATGCAATCCATTATTGCCATTTGCTAAATTCACTGCAGGGAGTAAGAACTGGGTTACCACAATAATCAGCTGGCTTTGGACTTATCAAACAGATTCTTAGTTCACCGAAACAAGTACCTTAACATGTAAAAGAAAACAACCTTCAGCTACCTGCACCTTGAATGTCAACATCTGATGTAAAAAAAAAAATTATTTATTTACATTACTTACTGCTTGATCAGGGCAAAATATGCACATACAGACACTATATATTCTGTATCTTTCTCTATACTCATTCCTCAGTATCTGTGGAAGACTGGTTCCAAGACCTCCTCGGATACCAAAATCTGCAGATGCTCAAGTTCCTTTTATAAAATGGTGTAGTATTTGCATATAACCCACACACATCCTCCTATAAACTTTAAATCACCTCTAGATTATTAATAATATCTAATCAATGTAAATGTTACATAACTAGTTGTTATACTGTATTGTTTTTATTTGTATTTTTTTTTTTTTTTGGTTATTTTTATTGTGGTATTATTTTTTATTTA